AAATACACATTTTTATATTTATATGTATATAATATATTTTTATATGAAATGAATATATATTTATACTTATACCTACTAAATACAAATAAATACATTTTTAATATATAAATACATTTCTATAGGAATACATTGGCTTTCTAACGTATATATAAATATTAAATACAAGTATATATATTTTTAAAAATATATTTATATTAATAAAAATATTTTTATACATTTAAAAATGTGTGTATAAAATACTTTTATACATTTAAAAATGTAATAATAATATTATTAGTAATAATAATAATAATAATAATAGTAATAATAATAATAATAATAATAATAATAATAATAATAATAATAATAATAATAATAATAATATGTATACAAATGTATTAAAAACATATGAAATATTTTTATACATTTAAAAATGTATGTATAAAATACTTTTATATAATTAAAAATGTAATAGTAGTAGTAGTAATAATAATAATAATAATAATAATAATAATAATAATAATAATAATAATAATAATAATAATAATAATAATAATAGTAATAATAATAATAATAATAATAATAATAATAATAATAATAATAATAATAATAATAATAATAATAATAATAATCAAAATAACAATCAAGGTAAGGGTAAATTCGAACATTTTTGAAAAACTTAAGGGTAAATCCTAACATTTTTGAAAATGCAAAGGCTTTACTGATATTAGGTAACCTAGGTAACCGGTAGGTTACCTGAAAACCGACTACAAGGGTAAAAATGAACAAATTAAACAAAGCTTCGGGTTTTACTGGACATAAAACACGTCCAAGGGTAAAACCGATATTTTTGTGAAAACTTAAGGGCTTTTATATCACTTTCCCTTATTTTTTTTCTCTTATGGCATTGTATTTTAAAAAGTTTCTCAATTATAACATTGTACTTTCATTTTTTTCTTATCAAGGCAATTTAACTTTGAAATATCTACCCACTTAGCATTATAAATTAAATGATCTTTATGTGGACATTTTACCTTGAAAATGTTACCTAACTATACCCATGTACGTTTTTTTAGACGGTGTAACTTCATAAATCTCTACCCATTTATAGCATTGCGTAATCAGTTTTTTTTTTTCATTAGGACATTATACTTTATGTTATTATTTATGTTTTGTATATTATAGTATCACACTTTCATTTTAACAATAATGATATTTGTCGATGTATTTTTTGTTCATTTGGATTATTACATGCTTCTCAAGTTAACAAATTATTAAAATAAATTACATCTTTTAGATGATTTCAAACATTGAGTGGAAAATTAAAAAAGGATTACTTTTTTATAACATTCTACTTTAAGAAAAACTATCATTTATAGCATATTACATTGTAGAAGACCTACAAAATATTTCATACAATTCAAAAATTCTTGACGTTTCTCAACTTTATGTAAAGCTAATCCAGGGACCATTTCTGTAACTTCTCGAAAAATCTGCTATGTCTAAAGAAATTTTCAAACACTGTTTTTTTGGTGCAGATAACTTATTTGCTAAATTTGTACCAAATAGGAACTATTTTATTATTGGTGCAGATATCTTATTTGCTATATTTGTACTAAATAGGAACTATTTTAGTATGTATTTTTATAGTTTCTTTAACTGCATATATTATTTTACAAAAATGTTATTTGCTTACGATTATATATTCATTCAACTTCGTGAACCACCGCTCATCATTACACACGTGATGTGTAGAACAGGTATCAAGCCACCATGAATCTATATCAACCCCCTCTACAAAAGAAACTTCTAAAGTTAGTAGCATAACATTGAATACTGAACTTACAAGATCAATAAAAATTTGACCTTTGGTTACAGATTGATCATGAGATCTACTACCACCACCAGCACCATCTTTTCCACTACCACTTGCACCTTTATTTCCAAGTTTCACCCGACAGTCACGTTTCATATGCCCTTTCAGATGGCATCTCCAACACACAAATTCCTTGGAATCCTTGTATTTTTTGTTGGACTTCTTGTTGTAACCCTCATATTTACATTTTTTACCCTTGCCCCTTGTGATTAGAAGTATCTTCTTTATCACATTCAGCCATAGAACTTGGGGTTGTCCAAAATCAGATTTTCCCTTTCCAATTCCTTTGTCATTCTCTTGATCACGAAGTCCTTCTTCGATTTTCAAATGACTCCCAAGTTGAATCAAACCTATTTCTTCCTTTCTCTGTTTCAGATGGTGTTTGAATCCTTCCATGAGGGTGGAAGTTTATCAATCACACTTGAAACAACAAAGGATTCATCCATGGACATGTTGTGTTGTTTGAATTAACCATAAATTCGTAGGATTTCATTATATTGTTCCATTACAGATCGAGAATCAACCATTTTATAATTGTTGAAATCAGAAACAATGAACTTTTTACTTGAAGCATCTTCTGCAATATATTTTGCTTCAAGTGTGTTCCATAATTCACTTGCAGTTTCAATGTTTTGATGAGTATCAAGGAGGGAATCACACATACCATTAAGAATGTGACCAAGGCAAATGCAGTTGTTATTATCCCATTTGCTTCTCCTTCTGATTTGTTTCAGACTTGCATCTTCAACCTCTTCTGGTTTTGGAGTAGAGAGAACATAAACAACTTTCAAAGTGGTCAACCAGAAGTGCATCTTCTTTTGCTAACGTCTGAAATCTTGGCCCTGAAATTTCTCCAATTTGCCAAACGAAGTATTCATGTCTTTCAATGAATTGCTAGCCATCTTTTTTAGAAAACGAAATATCAAACAAGATTGTTGGGGAATTTCGAATTGAGTTATAGGAAATCTGGATCACAAACAGGAATCGTGTGATACACTTTCCTTGTTTGATATTTTGACCCTAATTTCCTTGGGTATCAGGAAATCCAAACTAGGATAATTCCTTAAGAAACGATTTTGATTTTAGGCATAAAACACATAATCAATTTTGAGAGAGAATGAAGAAAAAAGCGTTTTTCAGTTTTCTGTGTTTCAACGAAGTCGTTGTATACAAGTGTGCACTCTTACACCTCCTAACTTGTATTATAACTAAAACACTATTCTTGAAACACTTGTTAAATCCATTACACTAAAATATATTTGGTGATTAAATCACCAACAGTTGATTTTGCCAAAAGGAAGTGTGAGTCCATTGTTGAGATTGTTGGTACTGTCCACGGTTACCCCTATGTAGTTACAACCTGACCACAACCTCTAATGCTTCGTCCACGTCCAAGATGAGACGAGAGCGTGCTTCATAGAAATCTGGAAGAGGCTTGGTTTCTTGGGTTATCATAGCGATCCCTTAGTATGCATCCATAAGACCAGCAATGAGCTATAATACGAGTTGCTGATTAGTAACAAGGGCACCGGCATTGGAAAGTTGATCAAAGATCATCTTTAACGTCTGACAGTAAGCAGAGCAATTTGCGTAATTTGCAAGCTTTGTGGTGACTGGTTTGTGTTCCAAGTAAAGAACACAGTTATTCTGGTCGTGTTGAAAAATGCTCATGCCTGTGCTGCACTAGATTTCGATTTCAGAATAGTTTGGAGGAGATTGTTTGTGATAGTACTGCAGATCCATTGGATGCCAATGACATCTAATCGATTCCATAGTTTAGGATCCATTGGTTTGGGATCTGCTGGTTTATCAACCCCGACTTTATCAGTAGTGGAGGAGGAGATGATTGCAACTATAGGTTCGATATGATCAATGAACTGGAACGCACGATAATGGATTCTGAACAGCTCAGCCCATGAAGTATACCGAGCTCTTTCCATCTGAGAGTAATCAGAATAAAATTCCGGATATTAGTGATCATGAGAGTCGGGTGTAATTTTTCTGCCATAAGGAGAGAGAACGAAAGAAAAGAGAACAAGATAGAGATTGTGAAGGAACGACGGCTGGTAGGGTTAGGTTTTCATAGGGAGAGCTTTGATACCATAATATAATGAAGAATATTTTTCCTTAACTTTATTGATCCAGCCGTGAGGTATAAATAGTGTACATGAGGTTGACCTAAACACAATATTTAAACTTAGGTACCTATAATCTATACATATATAATAATTAGGAGAAATTAAATATCTCTCTACCCTATAAAATATTGACATGTGACATATTTAATGAAATCTCCCTACCTAATAAAAGAGTAGCAAATTTATCATGTATCAATCAACTAGAAATTAATTATTTGCCACTTGTCAGTCTTTGGTTTTTTCTCATTAATTACATTTCCACTAATTCAATCCTCCCTTTTACACAGATGAAACACGTCAGCAAAAAATTGATTTGTAATATTTGTTGCCTAATTTATTACAATAACTCTTAATCAATAAATGTAATTTCAAACAATCACGCCACATTTATGCAATCCTTTCAAATATATTAAATCTCTGCATAACACTTATTCATTTTTACAATGTAATTTTCAAAATTTCAAATAAAACAATGTAAACAACTGTACAATATACTCAATATATATACAAATATTTACCTCATCTGCAGTGAATATTCACGAATTTAAAAAAGTCAAAAATAAATTGTACTAATCTACTAAATTGAGTGACTGAAAATCAGCTTGATCTAAATTAAGCATAATATTATCCTTTCGATTTCATATTTTCATTTAAAACAACGGTTATAATTTTATATAAATACAAAAATATATATCTTAATTAATAATTTATTTACAATAATTGATTAGTAACTATAAGTTTTTTTTTTTATAAATATTTAATTTATTTTATAACCATGGGTCCTACGGGTTATAACCTAGTTGATAATATTTTAGTCCACTTGTTACCATTTAATGTGGGTAGGAGAATAGTAGGAATAAAATGTAGGAGGATATTTAATTTCTCAATAATTAGAATATACACGGTTAATAGAAACACATCTACATATACAATATGAACCCTTTGACATGGACATCAAAACAGTAACCACAACATATGCAAACAACCATCAATAATCAACACACTTGTTACACAACAGTTATCTCGATTGATTCACTAGAACTTGAAGAAGCTAGTTGACTCCTGGCAGAAGAAAAACAACAATTGGGTATCTGACTTTTTGGTAATGCATGCCACTTATCAATGTACCCTATCGAGTCCATGTCTAAGTTGGGAAGCTGGCGTGCTTTGAGAATTTTCAGGATCTTTTTGGATCTACCAAGAAGCTGCGCTGCTGTTCGGATGCTATTTTCCCTTTCCTCTATTGCATGTTCATGGCACTTCATAGTTATGACACGTGGTAAGTTGGTAAAGCAAGCACATAGCAGATCTGCAATTATGGTTGATATAAATTCAAAAAGTTCCTCATCTGTTGGCCAATTTTCTTGCTTCTTGCAGTGGAGCAGTATGGTTTGGCTGATCCTGTACGTGGAACTCGCAGAAATTGCATTAAGAACTGAATGATCCATACCTCCGTATTTGCTTCTCTTGAACTGTATCACAATCTGTACTGCTTCATCACCAAGCCATTCAAGAATTTCTTCTGATGTTTCTCCATTACGAGCTTGAAGATCAATTTGTAGCCACCTGTAATATACTTCAACATCGGTCCACACATGACTAGCTGCTTTTCTTGCCTTTACCAACTCACCATTTGTGTTGAGGCTTTCTTCTATATGTCTTACAAATTGGAGGCCTTCACTCACACTGGAAAGTAACTCATTGACTTGGTCGTTTGCAATGTTGGGAAGGGAAAGGGCAATGGCTGTTAATGTTACTGCTACAAGGCTCCAGCAGTTCTGGATTTCTTCTGGATGTACAGGTGGGACTTCGTCATTGTCGAACTCTAATACTCCATTGAATCCTGTAGATTTCTTGAGAAGCTTCATAAGATACCTTGGCTCTTTCTCTTCAGACTCGTGAAGAATTCGAGTGATAGAGTTGAAGGAATTTCTTAACATGTTCTTTGAAAGCTTGGCCTCCGCTTCAGTTTGTAGGACATAACCAATATACTCTTCCATATCTGGTATCACAATGCTATCAGATGCATTTGGTTCTTGTTTAAACCTTTTCATCAATGACTTGCAGAAATAGCAACAACAAAAGAATAGGATCAGAAAAGATCTGGGAATGAGACATATTGTTTTACATATCACCACAACCAATATCTGAAGCGCTATACAAAAGTTCAAAATCATGTTTTTGATTTGATGGAGAAGCTTCTTGCAATGGCGGCTTGGGATACCTGAACCCACATGGTTGTGTTTCCAAAGCTGGAGTGTTTGGGTCCAATATTTCTCGACTTTGAACAAGTTTAGATGGTTCTTGGTCCATTTTTTGGATAAGTCGAAATGACTGATGGAAGTCAAACATCTTAAAATAGGTGCGATACTACCTACTATTGTCCCAACTGTTTGCATGATAACAATTAATTTCATCGACCACTTATATTCTGATTTCTCATAAGAATCCAACCGGGAATTGAAAACATAGTTAGAGCGATACGATCCACTATCCAAGAAAAAATAAACCGAACTGAAAGCAAGGGATAAGCATATAACCCCAAAAGCAGAAGAAATTGGTGAACAAGCAACTGCGAATTGAGGGTCACCGGTCTCTGCCATCATCCAATACTTTTTAACCTTATGTTTAAGTTCCTTGTAGGAGAAGTTAATCTCTTGATGATTTGAAGTCAATCTGTGCAACTCCTTGTAGCGGTGTTGTAAGATTTTTCTAGATACTGGAATTGTCAAAGCTACTGAAAATGGCCATGGAAGGGAACATATCAGCATAAACATTTGTAGCCTGATTATGTGCTCCTGCATGAAACGTAAAATACCATACTGGCGCAAATCATCTATGGTACTATACTGGAGCCAAACATTTACAGTGATGGTGATCATTAGGATGCCAAACGCTATCATATTCAGTAGAAGATCCTTTCCATCCATAAGCCCTAAAGAAGGGAGAAAGTTCCCTACCATGGCGACCAAGAAAGCAATGCTAATAGCCTTACTCGGAGACATGTCGGTGTTTAGGTCGACTGGTAGCTTCATTGCGATTGCTATCAGTGTGAGGGAAGCCGCATTGATTGTGAAAAATCTGCACGGAAACCAGAGTTTCCGTTTTCGAAAGCCTTGGAAAGCATCGGCTGCCATTGCAAGAGTGGAAATTAGAGAAGCTAAGCAAACATACAATCCAACCCAAGGAATGGCATCCTCCGGATATATCGGCTCTGTCATCTTGCTAGACTGGAGAAATAAAAATATAGTTCGATTTTTAATTTTTTCTAGCAAAATGATTAGCCTATCTATTAACAAATAACAGATTTTAGTTAACGACGCAGTTAACAATCTCAGTTACTATATAACAAAATTCCAATTAACAAAACCTGGCAAATTAAAACCCAATTTAGTGAAAACTAAAACTAACAAAAATCCAATTCACAATCCTTCATTACATAAAAATTATAACTAGCAAACTGTGACGAAAACAAACCTTATGATTTAACAAGCCCTTAAAACTAAGTAACGAATAATAGTTATAACTAACAACTAAAAATTAATACCGAAAAGATACAAACAACAATTAATAGTATCATTTATTTATTTACTTTAACAAATCTCAATACCCTTGTAGTGCAGGGAATCGGAGCAAGCTGGGAGGGTGGCCGGTGGTGGCTCCAGTGACGATGGCAAACCGATAGATAACCGAAGTCGACTGGAAAGGGCGAAAAAAAGGGCTGAGCGGGAATCGATTACTAAAGTTAGAAGAAAAGAGACGAGAATTCTAAGATTTCAAAAGTGGGTTCCATCATGGCATATTCTATGGGGACAGGCTTTAAGTTTAAAAGGAAAAAGAAAAAACTTTGAAAGTTCCAGGAATTAGTAATCAAAGACTTTTTCTGTTTACCAAACATATTCTATGATAATTTAATAGTTGACAAAATGTTGATCACATGCTACAGGCAATTTTAAGGGCAATTAAGCTATTTCCTATTACGGTTTGCCATCGCGGCAGCAAGAAAAAAAACGATGATTACGCCCGCTGTTCACGCTCCTCTCCAATACCTAGAAGATTAGATAGCAATGGTTTTTTTTTTTTTTTTTTTTTTTTTTTTTTTTTTTTTAAAGGACCTATTTTAGCTGCATTTTTGTCAATATAAATCAATATCACATCTCTATTGTTGAGTCTCCTATACTGAAAGAAGGATGAACTCGCCCTACAGCTGCGTTTCTGTGGTCTGCCGGTGGACTTGGAAAGTCCTAATTGACAAAATCGCCCCTGGCCCTGCTTGTCATCTGCGTTTTTGACTTTGTTTTCCCACACTAAAATCATGATTTCTTGAGATAATTTCTGATTTCTGATTATTTATTAATTATTTCATATTTGATTGTTTATTTAACTATGTCATACTAGTTTATATTAGTTTATAACCCGTGAGAATCACGGTTATAAGATTAATTAAATTACATATTAGAACATCAAAATTATTAAACAATTATTGTGATTCAAACGGGTATGCATGTAAGGATGAGAAGCTCCACGAATGAACTTCCGAGACTTATCAAGTCCTAAATAACATTTATTGGCATAAATATAGGGTTTAGAGGTAACTAAAGGCAAGGAAACACCTCTCGAGACTAGGAAACACTTGGAATGAAGTATTGAATCACATGTGATTGGACTAAGGTGTGTGGAATGGCACTATCATGAGTTTACGACCATGGGTTTACAGCCGTAAACTCATGGTCAAACATGCATAAGAGGGTGTTTGAAGGTTAGGGAAGCTTGAGGGACCATTGCTCTACACAAGGATGATAAAGACCATCATAAGGAAGGCTTTTGAGGAGTTTACGGCCAAACAAGGAGCTTACGGCCGTAAACTCATGGACATTATGAAATGGGTGTGGTTTAAGGTCATATACTCATCAATGAATGGTTCTAGGTCATAAGCCTTGCATCTAGTAGGGGTTTAGGGCCAAAATGGCACCCTTATAGGGGTTTACGGCCATGGGAGATGGCTTGGCCGTAAACTCCTTTTGTCTTTGTATTCATGATGATTCCAAGGCTCTAATCAGATGTTGTAGCAATATAATAAGTTAAGAGTAGAGTACTTACGATATAGAGGCTTGAAATGGTTGATTTTGGCCAAGAACACTAGTGTGTGTTCTTGGTGTTCTTGGTGAAACTTGAAGATCTAGCAAATGGAATGATTTCATGGATGAAATCATGGATTGATACTAGATAATGAGATGTATCAACAAATCAAGGGAAGAACACTTACATTTTTGATGAATCTAGGATGAAAAGTCGATGATACTTGAGAGCAAACTCAATTGTTCTTGAGGTGGAAGTGAGAAATGAAAGAATGATGAAGGGTTGGAGTCTTATAGGGGGAGTTTTCGGCCAAGGTTGAGTTTACGGCCGTAAACTCCATGTTTACGACCATAAACTCCACATGTTGGAGTTTAGGGCTTGAATCTTGTACTGTGGCTTTAGCAGATAAATCCCAACACTTATTCTTTAAGTGTACTAGGCTCATAACAGTCAAACTGACTCCAAATTGTGCTAAATGATAGCAGGAGTGAGTCTGACACTGAGTTGAGCTGACTGACTGAGGTTTTAAAGATATTTTTTTTCAGGTTGTCACATCACACCCCCCCCCCCCCGTTAGATGGAATTTCATCCCAAAATTACCTTTCTTACAGTACTACTTGGGTTGCGCTACTCTGATTTGCAGGATACCCACTCATAGACCTGGCAATTTTTTTGCCCTACTGTTAATGATATGATTCATACTTGGTCCATCTATCATTACCTCGTGTATACAAGTCGTATATAATTAGGATTAGTAAGACGGTCGGATGTGCGACTCTGTCCCAGGTCCACAACCAAACAAGGAACAGGAGATACGGCGGAAACACACATACTAGATCTGCGTAATCTTACTCATATACCACCCTCGCGTATACACTGAATAGTAATAGGTGGGATATATTCGTCCATAGCCTCTGTGATCGAACTTGGTCTGCTCGACGAGTGGACATCTGGGGTTTAGGGTTTAGGAAGACAAAGTACCCTTCGCACGAGTACTTTGGGGTTTAGAATACAAAAGATAAAACTGAGGTTTAGGTCAGACTGTCGATACGAATGACGAAGGTTTCGAGAACTTAACGGTCGAGGCAATAGAAACATATGAACTTAATATGGCGAGGACCACGCTAATTCATGACGAGTGATAGTAACAGACTCTTTACTGAACAAAGTTTTGGCTGATTTAAAAGAAACGTATGTTATACTGTGATATATCCCTAGTGTGTTCGACAATGTGCTCTTTGTAAATGGTCCAGTGCTTTCTATTTTCCCTTTAATGTTAGCACTTCTACGTATCGTACCTCGATGAGTGAGTACATACAGTGAAAGTGCTTTGATAATCGGTGATGATAATTTATATCATGATCCTCCTGGGTACCACTACGATCGCCCGCAATTTACCAGTTATGAGTAATTAAGATGAATAAAACAGTCGACTGAGTAACTTTGCCTCATATCTACAACCACATAAGGAACAAGAACTAAGGTGGAATCACTCACTCTAAGTCTGCGACATCTTAGTCATGCACAACTCTGATGTATATGCTAAGCCATCATAGCTTCTCTAAACGGATCTTTTAGTTCTCTTGAGAACCGTGATCTATTTCAATATGTGAGTTATTATAATTACTTTTAAGTGTTTTCCCCAAGTTTTAATCTTATATATAAATATAAGTTAATTTTATTTTAAAGTAATTACTATTTCGAAAACGTACCGCTGCTCGCTGGCGACTCCGGGGTTGATTCTCCTGCAGTGATCATCAGAATGCGTCCATTTGCGCTTTAGTTCTTCACTATAGGGCAGTCCTCTCTAGTAGTGTCCAGGTTCGCCATAGCCATAGCAGGCTTGGTTTTCTACAACTCCGGGGATTTGTGAGATCGGTTGAGCCGGTGCCATGCAGAAACGGACTATATGTCCCTTTCTGTTGCAGTTCATACACTGCATTTCCCGGCATACTCCGGTGTGGTGATAGTTGCACTTTCCACACTTTGGAAGAGTTCCAACATATCAATTGGCAGGTGCTGGTGCAGTAGGCGTTGTAGAGGCGTACATAGTACTCGTTCGTTGCTCTTGCAGGGGCTCCTGTGTTGTTCGCTTCTTCTTCCTTGGTTTCCCCGACTTCTGATTATAGTCCTTTGCTTTTGATGGCTCGGGAACGAGGACTTCTATGCTATGGCGGACTCCATGGTCGATGATTCGTAGTGCTAGGCGTTTGGTGCTATCAAATGTGGCTGGGTTAGAAGACAATACATCTCCTTGGGTTGGGGCAGTTAGACCCCAGATGTACCTTTCTATATGTTGGGTTTTAGTATACTACAACATCCTATGGTGCACATACAACCCTAAATACCTTGGATCTATGTTTTCACTAATTACACATGCAACTGGTTTCCAAGGTATTAAACCTACTACTAGCGTGCATTTGATATAAACCATATAAAATACTAGTTAGGATAACATACCTTTTGATGGAGCTTGAAGTCTTGATGTATTTGGCCTGAAAGAGCTTAGCCCCAATAGTGTGGAAGCCTCAAGTGGAATCACAACACACCATGGACAAAGGATGGACTTGAGAGAGAATTCCATGCACCCAAAAACACCATGAACTCCAAGAATACACTTGTGGAGATTTTGGGCAATGAAGTTTGTATTTATATGTGGGATTTATAGAGTCATGGATATAACCCAAATCCATACCCATGTGTTTTATGATCCATGGTTCATGTGGCCCAACTCTTTATGTATCCATACATAAACTTGGTCCAACATGGATCATAATCCCAACACATATAAATATAACTAATTAACATAATTAGTCCCCATAGATTTAATTAGCCTCTTTTGATCACTAACTTAATTCCAAATTAATTTTTGATCAATACTAATTAACTCATATGATTTCATATTAATATATTATAACTTATAAATATTAATAAATCATATATAACCTCTTCTCTCAAAAGTCTATCCTAACAAATTGTCCTGGTGATATGCAACCCAAATGGACCATGCTACTTTCGGGTCAAGTACATACCAATAATAGTTATTGGCTTAGACATCTAATCCAACACTATCTTCTTACTCTCTGTAGTAACCATCTCAGGGCATAGTGCTACCAGGTCACACAACCTGTCAGTGTAGGTCACTATGTCTAAGCCAATCATGGTATGCTCCGATAGTTCTTGTTCCACCTTTTGAACTTCGCCCCTCGGGTAGTATTCTTCCAACATCAACTCTTTTAGGTTTTCCCAACCTATCGAGTTAGCCACTAATAGGGTGATTGACTTAACATGGCTATTCCATCATGTTAGAGCTCTGTTGGAGAAGGTGCAGGCAACAAACTTTACTTTGCTCCCTTCTAGGCATGAACAGATTGCGAAGACCGAATATGTTTTCTCGAACCATCGCATCAGAGCGACGACTCCACCATTTCCATTAAAGAAGATGGGTTTGCAGTTCATGAAGTCTTTATACAAACATTCCCTTGGGTGTTCGTGGGTATCTTCGTGGTTGGTTAGGTGAGCACCGCTACCAGATCCACTGACACCACTTGCGCGAATTTGGGTAAGGGCAGCTACCGTTGTTGCGGTTAACGTTACCTGGAAAGCAGCTAGGTTAAACTGTGGTGGCAGATTCTCTGTCGTGCTGTTGACTACTAATCCTATATGGCCCTAACACTTTGAGAGTAAATAAAAACACTTTTTATCTAAGCACCATATTGATTACTCATTATTCAATGTTTCGATTTTATTAACTTAATACTTGAATAAAACAATAGTCATGTCATGTACCAAGCATGCACACTATGTTTACCTAAGGTCCTTCTCTTGTGAAATAGATCAATTAAACACGACTACAATGATGCTCATTTGACAATCTAAAACAATTTTGTAAATGTAAGAATACCAAAATCTTGCCATTTACTGTAATCTGTTACATTCTAAACTTATATGCAATGATTCTCTTGTAATGAATATGAACAAAAGTCACAAAGACTTGACAACGAACATTACAAATAATTCCAATGGAGAGCAATTCCATGGAACCGAAGTCTCAAATTCAAAGTTCATTCCTTTGAACATCCTTCTTGCATTAAGCTTTCTAATCTTACATAGATTCAAAGAATAACTTCCGCTTTTGGAAACAATTCCATATTACCATTTTGACTATGACTTCTGAACAAGAGTTGCCTCCTTTTTAGAATATGTCAATATGGTCCTTTCCAAAGTTTACATTATAC